CTTACGCTGCCAAAATACGTTTGATCTTGGCTTAATTAACTCGAGAAAGATTTTGGGTCAAACTGCAAAACACTTGCGTTTCCTCTTCACAAGACAAACATTGGAAACTTGTTCTCCCTCCTTGCGTACAAGCAAAGTCGGAGAGCCACCGAGAGATGAGAGGGATCTCGGCAAGTGGTCTTCCATGGTGGCATCTTCTACTTTTCGCTTCGATTTGTCTTCAGTTCTTCTTAGGTTCGTCTTCATCAGATCTGTGATTTGGATTTCTGAAACCTTGTTGTTCTCTTATCTATATGGTAGGATCATTAGATTCACTGCGCTTTTTGTAAGATTTGTTTGGAATTAGGCATTGAACCCGCGAGATTTAGGTCGAATTTAAGCTGGACTTGCTCATTCTGGGTTTCTGGAGATAGATTTGTTTGATTTCTGTTCCTATGGTTTCAAAATGAAGATATGTTGTTTCTAACTGTACTATTTGTTGCTTAGATTGAAACAAGTGATTTCAAGTTTAACATGTTGGCAAAGGGCAAATTCAGCACACAGTTTAAATGCCAAATGATACTTCTAACAATTTGGTGCACTGATTGGTAGAACTTCAAATTTTACAGGATTTGTTTTGTTTTTTGGTAACTACTATCATGATACTTGTATAAATGAATCAATCATCGGCATTTGATCATATTCTCTGCTTGCTATAAAGGCGTGTAGTTGTTGGTCCCCATTTGGTGGAGATTGCCAACATATTTTATAGGATAGATCCCTTAACCTTAGATTGATGATCACCTCTTCAACAAACTTTACGGTTAAGACTGTTCTTGTGGGATTAATAACTCTTGCTTTTATGCTAACATAGTCTCTATTAAGTCTCTCAAATCCTTAGCAGCTTCATGTTATTGTATATTCAGGTATATCCGGTGATTCCAAGAGCTCTAATACTGGAGCTAAGGCTGAAACTCACACTTCTTCCAGCAAAACAGGAACAAAAGTATTCCTCATACTGGTTGGGTTTGGGGCTGTAGCGGGATTCTCCTTCTTTCTATACAAACTGTGGCAGAAGAAGAAACGAGATGAGCAGTATGCTCGGCTGTTGAAACTGTTTGAGGAGGATGATGAACTGGAGGTTGAACTAGGCCTCCGTGATTAAGAAAAGCAAATATGTCACATATTACTGTTTGCAGTCTACGACAATGGTAATGAGATATACTAATTGTTTGGCATTTGACAGATGTGTATCAGATCATACCAGGGGTTTATAGGCATTGGAATTGGAAATATTGAAGAATATGTGTAGGAAATATATACTTAAAGGTTGTTTCATTTTGACTGATCTTTATGATTCTCTTGGGTGATATTGCCGTTGGGAGGCTCTGGAGAGAACATTGTTCATCTTTAGCTTTAGGTCAATTTTTTTTGTAAAAACAGATTCTATTCCTCAATCTTTTCAATGTTCTTTGATTTGTTTCTTGTAAAATTTAGATATTTG